TACTTGGTAGTTGGGTTTGGAGACAGGGTTATCCTATTGGGAAGGTAAGAATCCTCTGAAACTGCTTTCTCACCCCAACCCACCCTGCCCAAGTCAAGGTAGTGATTCAAAAACAGCACTGCAACCTGGAGCAATGGCAAAATTTAGTGGCACCTTAAGAAGCAAAGGGATGGGGACAGGGGAGGTGTCCCGTAAGGTGTCCTGTCCGTTCATCAGTCTGATCCTTGCACAAACTGGATGGATCCTGAAGGATGACAGTGCAAACTCAGCCAAGTGGCAGTCCCAACCGCAGCTGTGGCAGATCTAAGAGCAGTGAGATAATAGGCTAACCACCAATTTCACATCAGAAACAGCGAGGCCAGAGGGCAGTGGGATGATGTACTTAAAGTGCTGACAGAAAAAAACTGCCAACTAAGAAGTCTATACCCAACATACGTATCCTTCAAAACTGAAGGAGAATTTAAGACATTTCCAGATAAATAAAAATTGGAAGAATTCATCACTGGTAGACCTGCCCTGCCAATGAGATAATTCAGGCTGAAATAAAAGGCATTAGACAGTAACTTGAAGCCATAGAAGAAATAAAGGCACCAGGAAAGGTGTCAGCTTTGGTAGTTTGTGTGATTATCAGGATTTTTCCATGACATCTAGGTTACCTTATTTTTTGGTGTGCAGTTGTTCAGAGCACTCTCATATAATCCTTTTGTTTAAGCAAGATCAGTAGTGAGGTCCCACTGTTATTTCTGACCTTAGTAATTTGAGGCATCTGTTTTTTTGGTCTAGCTAAAGCTTTTCAATTTTTTGCTCTTTTTAAGAACCAACTTTTGTTTTCATTGATTTTCTCTTTTGTTTTTCTAGTCCCTATTTCATTAATATGCACTGTAATATTTATTTCCTTCCTTCTGCTAGCTTTGGGTTCAGTCTGCTCTGATTTATCTGCTTCCTTGATTTAAATCTGTCTTCTTTTTAAATTAAGTTGTTGACAGTTATAAGTTTCCCTCTGAGCACTGTTGTCACTGTATTCCAGAAGTATTTCTTTGTTAATGTTTTCATTTGCATTCATCTCAATGTATTTTCTAACTTCCCTTGTTATTTCTTCTTTGACCAATTTTTTATTTAAGTGTGTGTTGTTTAATTTCCTCATATTTGTGAATTCTCCAGTTTTCCCTCTGTTACTGATTTCTAGTTTCTTTCCATGGTGGTCAGAGGAGATATTTTGTATGATTTCAATCTTTCACAATACAATGAGATTTGTTTTGTGGCTTAATGTAGAGTCTAATCTGGAGAATGTTTCATGTGCACTTGAGAAGAATGTGTTCTGCTGTTGTTGAGTTGAGCATCTTGTATATGTCTTTTAGGTCTAGTTATTCATAGTGTTCTTCAAGTCCTCTATTTCACTATTGATCTTTGATCTAGCTGTTCTATTATTTCATTTTTTTAATTAGCAGAAATGACTTCTTGAAGTCTCCAAGAAATATTGCAGAATTGGAACTGCCTATTGCTTCAATTCTAGAACTTTTGCTTCATATATTTTGGGGGTCTGTTGCTAAGTGGATATATGTTTACAATTGTCATATCTTCTTGATGTAGTGACTCTTTTATCAACACTTAATGTCCTCATTTGTCTCTTACAACAATATTTGACTCAGAGTCTATTTTGTCTGATTTAATTATCATGGTTACTATTTACATGAACTCTCTTTTCCTGTCCTCCCACTTTCATCTAAAAAAGTGGATCCCTTGTGGATCTTTGGCTCTAAAGTGAGTGAACTCACTCAAGAAGAAATAAACAAGCTGAATAGACATACAACAAGTAATGGGATTTCATCAGTGATCAAAAACCTCCCCCAAAAGAAATTCCCAGGAATAAATGGCTTCAATGCTGAATTCTACTAAACATTATGAAACAATACCAAACCTTCTCAGATTCTTCCAATAAACAGAAGATGAGGGAACACTTTCTAACTCATTCTGTGAGGTCAGCATTATTCTGATATCAAAAACAGACAAACACAACAAAAGAAAATAGAAGCCAATATTCCTTATAGATAAAGATTTTTTTAATCCTCAGCAAAATATAATCAAACCAAATTCAGCAACATAGTAAAAGGATTATGCAACACAACTAAGTGGGATTTATTATAGGAATGCAAGAGTGATACAACATATGAAAACCAATCAGTATAATGTACCAAATTAATAGAAGAAAGGAGTGTGAACCACATGACCATCTCAGTTGATTCAGAAAAAGCGTCTGACTAAAGCCAACACTCTTTCATGATAAAAACACTCAACAAACTAGGAAAAAAGGGAACTTCTTCAACATAATAGAGAGCATTATGAATAACCAGTGGCTACCATCATACTCAATGGTGAAAGACTGAAAGCCTTCTCCCTATAATCAGGAGTAAGACAAAGATGTCCACTTTCACCATTTCTACTCAACATCATACTGGAAGTTCTAGCCAGAGCAATTAATTAGGCAAGAAAAAGAAATGAAAATTCCAAATTACAAAGAAAGAAATAAAACTTACCACAAAACTACAGTAATCAAAGCAATGGTATTTGCATAAGGATAGATATATAGTTCAATATATCTAAAGAGTCTAAAAATAAGCCTATATATCTACGGTCAATTGATTCTCAATAAGGGAATCAAGATCATTTAATGAGGAAAGAATATTTTCTTCAACAAATGATGCTGTGACAACTGGATAGTCACATGCAAAAGAATGAAGTTGAGCCCAATCTCACACCATATACAAACTTAACTCAAAATGGATCAAAGATCTAAATGCAAGAGCTAAAGCTATAAATCTCCTAGAATAAAACATAGGAGTAAATCTGCATGACCTTAGATTTGGCAATGCTTTCTTAGATATGACACCAAAAGCACAAGCAATTCCTCAAAATAAAGTTCCTCAAAAAAAAAAAAATTCCTCAAAAATAAAGTTTCACATATCAAAGGACACTATCAAAAAAGGGAAAAGAATATTTACCTGGCAGGGGAGATACCATGATCATGAAGGTGGCTTTCCCAGGAGGAGGCTTATCCATTGCACTCAGATGTGCTGACCCTAAGATATTAAAGTTTTATAAAAATTTAAAAAAATTTTTTTTGAAGAAAGGGAAAAGACAGTCCAAAGAATGAGAGAAAATATTTCTAAATCATAATTCTGATAAAGATCTAGTATCCAGAATACATAAAGAACACCTGTAACTCAACAACAAAAAAAAAACAATCAAAAATGGGCAAAGCACTTCAATAGAAACTTCTCCCAAGAAGATATACAAACAGCCAACAAGTACATGAAGGAAGCCCAATGTCACTGACCATTAAGGAGATACAAATTAAAACCACACTGAGATGCCACTTCACACCCACTATAATAAAACAAAATAAAAACAAAAAAGTGTTGGTGAGCACATGGAAAAATTGGAATTCTCATACATTACTAGTAGAAATGTAAAATGGTTCAGCTGCTTGGAAAACAGTGTGGTAGTTCCTCAAAAGTTCAACACAGAGTTACTATATGACCTGGAAAATCTACTCCTAGATATATACACTCAAGAGAGTTGAAAAGAGGTGTTCAAACAACCATGTGTACAAAAATGCTCACAGCAGCATTATTCACATTAGCCAAAAGGTAAAAACAACACAAATGTCCACCAACTAACAAATGGATAAATAAAATGTGTTATGTCCTTATGATGAAATATTACTCAGCCACAAAAAGGAATGAAGCACTGATACATGCCACAGTGTGGATGAACCTAGAAAACTTTTAGGTTAAGTGAAAGAAGTCAGACACAAAGGGCCACATATTGTAAGGTTCCTGTTATAGAAAATGTTCAGAACAGGCAAATCCATAGAGACAGAAAGTAGATTAGTGGTTGATAGGAACTGGAAAGGACTACTTAATAGTACAGGATTTCCTTTTGGAGTGATGAGAATGTTCTGGAACTAGATAGTGGTCACGGTTGCGTATCACTGTGACTGAACTAAGTGTCACTGAATTATACACTTTAAAATGGATTGTTTGTAAATTTTATATTATGTTATCACAATTTTTAAAAATCACACCTGCTAAAGGTTTCCAAGTGAGGCCACCATGCTCAGCAGCACTGAAAATCATCACCATTGTAAATCTTGGTTGATTTTACAAGTGGGACATTTTTGTTTTAATTTGGGAAACTAATTATTAATGAGATCAAGTATTTTCATGTTTCTTGGAAATTTGAATGTTTTGAATTTTGTATTTGATTCTTTTGTATCTTATCCTGTTCTAGTTGTAGGGACTTTGTAATTTTCATGTTAACCTTTCATCCATCATGCATATGGCATTACTGCCCATTCAATATCCTTTCTACCAAAAGAGATTCTCTGTGGGTTCTAATGGAAACTATGCAGCGATGGACTGTTCCGGGAGGGTGGAGAATTACACAGCCTTGAGTTTTCCTCCCACAGCAGCTTTGGGTCTGCCGGGGACACACACTGCGTGCTCTTCGGTCAAGTTTCACTCTTCTGTTCACAATTAACGTTCCACTTAGTGCTTTCTAGTCTGGGCTATACGATACTGGGTGTCTTCCCACAGTGTTCAGCTGGCACAGCTGCTGGGAGGGAGGGTGCCCGTGGCCGTGAGTTCATCTCACACCCAGCCCCTCGTGAATGTGACGTTAGGACCCAGGGCAGTTACTCAGCAAAAACTTGCCTCATATATTTTCCACAGGTTTTCAAGAGCCAAAGAACAGATAGGAAAACATGTCCTGCAACATAACAAGTTTGATGAGTAAAGCTAATTATAGAAAATAAACCAACACTAATAAGGGATCTCCTGCACCAGCTCTCAGCACCAACCAGAAAGGGAGGGCATCACTCACCCTGCTGCTGGGGCAACACACACACCCGGGAGGGATATAAAAGCTGCAGCCCTGAGCACCTCACTCACACTCACACACTCTTACACACACACACACCCTCCTCCAGCCCACCGCCCACCATGGCCACCTCCACCCTATCCATCTGCTCCAGTGACCTGAGCTATGGCAGCCGGGTCTGCCTGCCTGGGTCCTGGGGCTCCTGCACCGGCCCCTCCTGGCAGGGGAACGACTGCCCCGAGAGCTGCTGCGAGCCCCCCTGCTGTGCCCCCAGCTGCTGCCAGTCCAGCTGCTGTGCCCCAGCCCCCTGCCTGAGCCTCGTCTGCACCCCCGTGAGCTGCGGGTGCAGCCCCTGCCAGTCAGCCTGCACCAGCTCGTGCACACCCTCCTGCTGCCAGCTGTCTAGCTGCCAGAGCTCCTGCTGTACCTCCTTCCCATGCCAGGAGGCTTGCTGCGTGCCTATCTGCTGGGTGCCCGTCTGCTCTGGGGCTGCCCCCTGCCCGGTGCTCCCGTGCTGCCAGCCCACCCCCTGCCCCCCATCCCGCTGCAGAGCCTTCTCCTGCTTGTCCCTCACCTGCCGCCCACCTCCCCTGCTGCGTGCCCACCTCCCCCTGCTGTGCCCCTGCCTCCCCCTGCCAGCCCAGCTGCTGCCTCCCAGCCTCCTGTGTGTCCCTGCTCTGCTGCCCCGCATGTGCCCGCCCCGCGTGCTGCTAATCAGCTTGATCTTCTGCCTCTTGGACTGCGTGCATCTCTCATCCTGCACTCAGCATCCTTTCTGTGGAGCCCTGGAGCCCCTCTGCAGGCACCAGGACCTCCTCTCACGCACCGGCAGACACACAGTTGCTGCCTAACTTAGATTTGAACATGTCGCCCATTGCTTTCTGAGAGGAGACAGCCCTGCAGTCCTCCAGGGGGTGGGCTGCGGGCCCCGGGGAGCCCTGCTCTGCAGGGTTGCCTGCCCACATTCAGCGTGACAAGGTCAATTGCTATAATCAATGAAATGCTTGTGTGAGGAAATAAGGACCCGTGTTTGTTCTTCCTTTCCTGCGCCCCGGTGACCGCTCCAGATATGGGTGAGGGTCCTCTCTCTGGTAGAAGCAGACAGACAAGAGACATATTCAGAGCTCCTGAAAGACAAGATCTAAATAGGTGCCATCTGCATGCTCCACCTCCCTTCCTCACCCTGAGGCCCCACCCTCCTGAAATGGCAAGGCCCTGAGGCTGGGGCCGGGAAGCCGGCATACATGCAGAAGGCTGGGCCCCAGGTGTACCCTGGGCTCTGCCCACCCCCGTCCCCTGCCCCATGCACGTAAGGGGAGCTGGGGACCAGCAGACACCCCATTTAGTTGGATCTGAGAGTCAGCACAGTGCCAACTTCCCTTGCAGAGAGGTGCCCTCAAAGACAAGGCATGCCTGCGGGTCTGGCACAAGGGCTGTGGCCCGCCTCTGCGCACCTGAAGCATCAGCAATCTCCTGTGAGCCCCAAGTGGGGCATGAGGGTCTGTTCAGACATTACTCATTCTACCCAAGTTTTCAAGGCCTGATTGAGGAGGCACAGAGCAAAAAGACACCTGTGAGCCTCCCCTCAGGCCAGGGGGGTGGGGGGAGGAGATGAGCCTGCAGTCTCAGTGGGCCACTAGCACTAGAAAGTCAAGTGGGCACCAGTCAGACCGGCCAGGTCAGCATCAGGAGCCCTACTGATCCCTTGGGCCAGAAACAGGAGCAGACGGGCCCAGGAACATGAGGCCCCTCCCCAGGGGGACCTGCTGGGGAGCCTGTAGGCACCCCCCACCCCAGCTTGGCTCTACCCTGGGGAAGAGGGGACAGAACAAAACCCTAAGAGGGCCTTTAAATATAAACCTGCCTTGACTCTTAAATCCTTCAGTTTGCCCTGATTTATTCAAAACCTTACTCATTACTTGTCCATTCAAGTGTTAAGAAAGGTATGACCATAAACGGACAAAGTGTTGATGGACTCTGCAGAGAACACAGAGTTAAAGGTGCTGGGGAAGGCTGCGCCTCACCCCAGGCCAAAGGAAAGTGAGGTGTGGGTGCGGACACACGTGGGGACAGCGCCCCTACCGAGTCCTCTGGGGTCGAGAGCCCTGGATCCCCGACGGCTCCTCACCGGGAGCCAGCTGCAGCCACAGACAGCGGCAGGCAGCTGAGCTGCTCGCTGTGGGTCCCCCTGGGTCAGACGGCCACACGGACCCGGAGGGAGAGTTGGTCAGAGGCCACGGGCGCTCTTCCCCTTTGGAAGTTTATGGGATACATGTTCACTGCACGACAATGCCAAACGCTCTGCGACCCCCTGGGCTGCAGGCGAGCTCCCCGTCGGCAGTGAGCGAGGCGGGTGCTCCCAGACACGGGGCCCCATCATCCGCCCTGCCTGAGGCCGGGGCAGGTGCCGCCCCAGAGGCATCACAGAGGAGACCGCCAAGTCCCCCTCCACCGCCCGGTGGTCGGCACTGGTGGCCGCCAGGGTGTTCCGGATGCTGTCTGTAAGGCAAGGACGTGACACAAAGAGGCCCGGCTTGGATTTGCGTGACGGTAACGCAGGCCTGGCCAGGCGGACCAGCTTGGAGGGAATGATGGTGAGAAAGGGCCGCGTGGCGGGTGCGCAGGGTTCCTCCAGCCCCACGGCCTCGTCAGCCCGCTATGTCGGCAGGGAAGTGTGGGGGTTTCTAGATACGGGCCTCCCCACAGGGAGGCCCCCCTTCCTGATGCTCCTCTTACACCATTTCTTGGTACCAGCAGCTGCCCCCTGGCACTCCGGTGTGCCGCAGCCTCCTCCGGCCTCTGGGCCTCTCCGGTCTGTCCCTGGGGCAGCCGTGTGGTCTCTGGGCCTGGTTTCCCTCCCGGAGTAACACCAGCATCCCCCACGCAGCCTCCGCCTTCCTGCAGCCACAAGCTGAGAGTGGGGGAAGGGAGGGGGCCTGGGGGGTAGGGGGCCCACAGGCTTCCCCCCCCAGTCTGTGAGACTAACCTTCCCTTTACTTCCCCCAGTCTGGGTACTTTGTTGGGGCGGCCCTGGGACACCACTCCATCCCCTCCCCAGCTCCAGCCCCTGGATGGGTGAACAGGCCAGGAGGAGGGCACCGCAGGCCCAAGGGCAGGAGAGCTTCCTTGGAGAGAATGGGGCCACTCCCCTGCCGTCGGGGGTGGGAGGTCTGGGGCTGTCACACCCTCAGCAGGTGAGGGTTGGGCGGGGGACCCCCGGGAGGGAGCCCTGTCCCCACAGGGAGGCCACCGCCCAGAACCTCTGCTGGAGGCTCCGGTGGGGGAGCCCCAAGGCGATGCTGCCCTGGGGCCCCCACAGTCCAGGGGACCCCCAGGAAGAGCCTGGGGTGTGACAGACCCGGAAAGGGGGAAGGGCAGGCTGGGGCCCCCAGAGTGAGCAGGGCCGAGGCCCGCGTGAGAGGCGCAGCCCGGCGCCCCTCCTCCCCCGCCTGCTCTGCCCTGACCGCCCCCCATCCACAGCCCGGGCTCAGCCAGCAGGGCCGCGGGGGAAAGGCGGGCATCCGAGCTGTGCGACAGGGACGACGGCTCCGTCCCACATCCACCGGGACAAAGGACCATGGGCATGGTGGCTGAAACCACACGAATTCCTTCTCTCACTGCTGCGGGGCTCAGACCCTGAAACGGCTCTCGCTGGGCTGAACCAGCGTGGCTTGGCCGGACCTTCCCGGAGGCCCCAGCGGAAGCACTCTGGTCCCTCTTGGTGTCTGCGCGCCCACAGGGCCCCACGCTCCGCGCCCCGGGCCTCCTTCCGCAGCCACGTCCCATCCCCCTCTGCGTCCCTCCCCTAAGGTCCTGCAGGGACCCCGGGCCGGCACCCCACAGCCCGCAGGGACGTCCCAAAAGTCCAGGCGTAACCCAGGACCATTTCCTATCGCAAGACCCTGAATTTATTCCCGAGCGCCAGATCACTTTGCCTGCCAGGGGCCATGCCCACAGGTGGGGATCAGGGCGTGAGCATCTCTGGGGGGCCATGGATTTCACCCACAGCCCTTTCCCACTGACGGGAGGAGGAGGTGCTATGCTCTTCAAGAGGGTGCACGGCTGTCAGCTCGCAGAGGGGAGTGGACTCCGCATATTCACTGCCGAGCAGGGCACCTTTTTACCTAAGAGGGGTCAGCTCAGAAAGTGATTTGCCCTCAGCCCCACCCAGGCAGGGTAAGAAATGACCTCCTGAGTTCAAGGAGCCAAGCGGGTCAGAAGGAAACCCGGGGTGCCATCAGGCTGAGTGCTACGAGCACGCCCACATGCCCGAGGGGCCACCTTTGAGCGCTTGTCACTGGGCACGGCCTTCTGGGACCCTGCTCCTCCTCTGCAGGAGGAGTTTTCTGAAATCTCTGCGGAAACACCCACCCAAGGAAGCAGTTCAGAGAAAAGCACTTAAGGAGAGTCGTCACACGCTCAGCTGGGCCTCACACTCTGGCGTTTATTAGACCTTCAATGCTGGAAGCTGCAGAGCCTGGATGCTCCACACCAGGCAGGGTGGGTGCCATGTGCATGACCAGGGCTGGGGCCAGGGGACACTGGGGGCTGAGCCCCTAAGGCTGGATGGCTGGGATGGAGCAGGCTTGCTGCAAGGTGGTCTAGTCAGGTCCAGAAGGCCTGAAATGGAAGACGTCTGGGCTGCCTTGTAGGAGTTCAGAGAGTCAGCTACTTCTGACCCCACAAAGGAGGGGTTCTGGGGTGCCATGGGCTCAGCAGCAGGAAGCTCAGCAGCAGGAAGGGGTGCCACAGGGGACAGGTCTGCAGACCAGGGTGGGGCAGGAGGGCTGGCAGCACCCAGAGGACTGGCAGCAGGGGGCCATGCACACAACAGGCTTGCAGCTCACAGGCGTGCATATGGCTGGCTTGCAGCTCATGGGCACACACACAGTGTGCTTGCAGCTCACGGGTGTGCATAGACCCGGCTTGCAGCTCACAGGCATGCAGTAAACAGGCTTGCAGTTCAGAGGCATACAGCAAGCTGTCTGGCAGGGTTTGAGCACAAAGCAGGATGCCTGGCAGGGGCTGGGCACATAGCAGGGCGCCTGGCAGGAACTGGAAACACAGCAGGGCGCCTGGCAGCCAGAGGAGCAGCTGGTGCGGCACATGGTGGTGTGAGGCTGGGGTGGGATCAGGGTGGAGGACAGGACTGGTCTGGAGGCTCCTTCCCCAGGGTGGCCTTTATATACAGGCCACGGCGCCATAGCAACAAGCCACACGGTGCCTCCCCCTGGCTGCCTGGTTGTTTCTCCTCCTCAGCCCTCCCTGTGGTCTCTTCCTGTAGTCTCTGGGTGAAGTGACTCAGTTGGGGAAGTTCCTCCTCCACTGAGGTTCACTGTGACTCAGCAGCCCTGTGACTCCTGGAAGCAAGGCCCAGACTAGATGGGGAAGCTTCCATCAGTTGGGGACAGGAGACCCCACATCATGACGTTCAAGGTCCTCCCCAGTGTTACACACCCTGTCCTCTGTCCACACAGCACAGCCACACTCCTCAGACCAGGGGTCCCCAGTTCATTGGGAAACTCAGCGATCCATAAGGTCCTCCTAACTCACAAGGGCCGCGCTGCTGGCCCCTCTCTGGGGAGTGCGGTGACCACACCACTGCAGTGAGGATGACGGAGTTCCAGCTTTGTGTCAGATCCTAAGCATTTAATGTGGGCTATCTCATAACTGATTCATTATCCGTCTTTGACACCGTTCAAGGGGGAGGTGATACCACTTGAACAGATGTGCAATTACAACTTTGGGAGGATCCTATGATACGTGCACATTCTCACCACTGCAAACAGGGACCAGGAGTCTGGAGCGTCTTCATTTAACTCTGGAATCCTTGGTCATCGTGCCTAATTGAGTTGGGACTTTAGGGGTTTTCTGATATTCTTGGATCTGTAAGAACTTATAAAAATCAAATTTTGGAATTTTACCCATTATTTCTCCAAAACATTCTTGTGTTTTAGTATCATTTCTTCTCTTTCTTAAGTTGAAATTACTTATATGTTAAGACTTTTTAATATTGTCTCATAGGCCCTCTTCACTTCTCTTAATTCTTTTTCCCTCTTCAGATTGGATAATTTCTACTGACATGTGTTCAAGTCCACCAACTCTTTCTTCTATCAGCTCAGGATTGTGATGCTGATCCTCAGACTGTGTGATCTGAATCTGTCTACCTACACCTGCTGCCTAGCACCTACACTGAGATTTCCAACTGCTCCTGAAAATGCTCATTCCTGCTGCAATGTCCTCACACCCCCATGGCCACCTCCACCTGGAACACCATCCCCTGACCTCTTCAAATCCCCTAGGTGCCAGCTCAGTGTCACCTCCTTAAAGAGGCCCACAGACTGCCCAACAACATACCCCATTATTCTTTATATGCTGAACCTGTTTTCCTTTCTGGGACTAAGCCTTCCCTAGAATTATTCCATGCATTAATATCATCACTTGCTCATTTATTCGTTGCCTTAGAAGATTCATAAGGCTAGGACATCTCTATTGCCAGCTCATAATATCCATCTGTTGCATGAACAAATCAGTTCTTGTATAGATTACTATACTAAAAGGCAGAAGTTGACAAACTTTCTGTAAAAGGAAAATCGTATTTCAGGCTTTGCAGTCACACAGTCTCATGCAAATGCAGCCCTAAACAACACATAAGGGAATGGGTATGGCCATTTCCAATAAAACTTTATTTACAAGACAGGCAGCAGGACAGATTTGTCCCACAGACTTGAACTTGCTGACTCCTGCTTTCCTGTATAAATGTTTTCCTGTATAAATAAAAGCTCAAAATATATTATTGCCCAAAACTCTTCATTGACAGCATGAGACAAAAAGGAATAAGAGGATACAGTACTCTGAGTTGAGCCAATGGTGTTGTGTACACAAAAATAGCCTGGAGAAACAACACAAACCCCATATAAAGTCAAACCGGAACATCCTGTTTACAGAAGGAAAACTCGGCCTCAAAGCCAAACTTATTTATGCTGGAGCATAACATAGGAAGGTGAGTCCCAGGATGAGAAGGTGTTGGGGAAACGTGGTGGAAACGACCAGGAGGAAGTCAACAGCTGTACTTCTGTTTTGCTGGGATGCCCACAACCCAGATAAAAAGGCCACCCAGGGAAGGAGCCTGCAGACATCACCACCCTCCACACACCAGCCCAGCCCCACACCAACATGTGCCACACCAGCTGCTCCACAGGCTGCCAGGCTGCCTGCTACATGCCAAGCCCCTGCCAGGCATCCTGCTGTGTGCCTGTGAGCTGCCGGACCACTGTGTGCATGCCTGTGTGCTGTAGGCCCACTGTGTGCATGCCTGTGAGCTGCAGGCCCACTGTGTGTGTGCCCATGAGCTGCAAGCCTGCCGTGTGCGTGGCCCCCTCCTGCCAGTCCTCCAGGTGCTGCCAGCCCTCCTGCCCTACCCTGGTCTTCAGACCCATCTCCTGTAGCAACCCTTCCTGCTGCTGACCACGCATCTCCTACCCAGCTGCTACCAGTGCACAAGGGCCACACCTGCTCCCCTCTAGAATGAATCCTTGGTGGGCCTCCGGGTGCTGCACGTGGCCAATGAAAACATGCTCAACAAACCCTCTGAGCTTTTTGGGGAGAACATGGCAGGATGATCTGGATTCCTCCGTGACCTGCACATCCCCTCAGGGAAGCCCTGGTCCTGAGGGTCCTGCTCTGTCCCCATGGAAACCATACCCCATGGGAGCCAAATAAATCATGCTTTCCCCATGCAGCTGTGCCTCTGTTTTACCTTCACGTATGGTTGAAGTCCTTCCTTGAAGGCACATGCCAGTCATAAATACAGCAGCCCCTCCTCCAGTGTTCTTCCCAAAGGCTCAGCTGAAGCACAGAGTCCTTGGTGGGTGGAGGGGTGAGGGTGTGCCAGTTGAGACCCACACTGTGGGTGGGGAAGGACAGGGAAAAGTTCCTCTCCCCAAGTGAAGGATGGGAATCAGGCCTGGGCCCTGAGTCCCACATGGTACCTGCAAGGATTGCTGCAACAGGGAGGGCAGGAAACTCGCACACAAACCCATGGCATGTACAAAGTGGGATCCAGCCCTCCAGGGAGGAGCAGCAGGACACCTGAGCCCAGGTCCCAGGCCCAAGGGGCCTGCTCAGACTGACCCTGGGCCAGGGCGACAGAGAGCCCTCCTGCCTCCCAATGCAGCCTGGCGGGCGGCTGCACAAGCAGCATCAGTCATCTGGAGGGAAGGCAAACGTGTGTAGAGGCCCCCTCTGTGTGCCAGGCATGAGGGGCAGCTGAAAACTTAGGGTGGAGCAACAATGCTGCCCCCCAGCCCCCACCCTAAGTGCGAGGCACTTGCAGCCCGCCACAGAGAGGTCTTAGGTGCCCTGAAGAGCCTCACGGTTGCCAGACCCAGACCAAGGTCACCATCTCAGCAAGTTGCTTCAAACCTCCCCCAGCACCCTGACGACATGACAGCAGAAGAGACCCACCCACTGCCAGGGGGAAGCACTTTTCATGTCCACTCCAATTAATACACGATATTCAATCAAAAACTACAAGACATATAAAAAAGCAAGGAAAAATCAATCCATTGTCAAGAGGCAAAGCAACCAATGAAACTGGACTCAAAAATGACCCAGATGTTGGAGCTATCAGACAGAAACTTTAGAACAATTACGACAAGTGAAATAGGGCAGACACAGAAAGATAAATACTGTATGATCTCAGTTATATTTGGAATCCAAAAACAAACAAAAAACGAAAAAACCAATTCAAAGATAGAGATAACAGATTAGTGGTTTCCAGAAGTCTGGGGTGGGAGTTGGGGTGAAACAGGTGAAGGTGGTCAAAGGTACAGACTTCTAGTAATAAAATAAATAAGTCCTGGGGAATATGATGTACAGCATGGTGACTATAAAAGAAAATAAGTTAATATATTTAAAGAAATACAAAAAAGAACTGTAAATATGAGAACAGAGTGAGAGTTTATTAAAATAGAAGAAATAAAAAGACTAAAGAAACAAACAGAACTCCTGGAAACAAAAAATCAAGTAATGGAAACATAATACCCAGTGGACAACTTAAACAGAATATTAGGAACAATTAAAGAAAGAACTAGGAAAATCAGAAGGCAGATCCATAAGAAAGTATCCAGAATGCACCAAAAAGAGTCAAAGAAGTGGCAAATATGTAAGAAGTTTAAGAGATGTGGTAGAATGATTAGAGGGGGCACACGTGTGGTAAATCCATAAACAGAAGCATGGGACTGATAAATATAGATGTAAGATAATAGTTACCTGTGGGAAGCAATGAGACATTGGATTGTGTAGGCATATAGGGCTTCAATAAGTAAATAAATAGTAACTAAGATTAGTATTTTAAAGGATCAAGTGTAAAACACAGACTGCATATTCATAT